TCAACCCCCAATACAGTAAGTCATCAGAAGTTGGACCCGTTGATGAGTTTAACTTATGGCTTTGGGGAAGCGGGAGGTTGGTTTAGTTGAGTCCAGAATCTTAGAGTAGGCCTAGTGCCCTAGGCCACTCCAGCTGGTTCAGTTCTCAGAGGACACCTGGGTCGGGAACAAGGACTCCACTCAAGCCCGTGCCCTGACGCCACCAGGTTTTGACCAAACCAGGCTTCCTCTTTGAGGGACAAGGTCAAAGTTAGGGGCTCTTCTTTTTCTAAACTGAGCTAGGGAGAGAGGGATTTGGGGATGGGAGAAACTTTTAAAGGAGTCTTTGCCCAGGACCTGGGTGCCACCTGCTGGCCATAATTTAGTTGTATTTATAGGGCCAGATCTGGGAGAGGAGAATTAAAAGGGCATCCTGCCCTCCCCACCATGATGAGGAATAGGGGAACTAGGAGGCTGGTTTCTTCGTGACCGCCCCCCGCCCCAGCAAGTGTGACTGAGAATCCTTGCAGAGACCCCCAAGTGTCTTGGATGAGTCCTCCTGAGCCAACATGGACCTCAGCTGGGCCAGAGGGTAGCATCACCTGAAAGAACCAGAGCCAGTCGCAAGTGGAGACAAAGCTCTGCCCCACGTTATCAACTGCCCACTCACACCCACTTCCCCAAAAGCGCCACAGGAGGTAAAAAGCATAATTGCTGGTTTGGCCCTGAGAGGAGCCTTTTTTTTCCAGCTTTCTCCTTACAGGCACTGTTGGCTCTTTGGGGACCCTAGGTTCAGACCAATCAAAGGTGTGGAAAATGCCCTTCCATCATCAGGCACGGACAGAGCTGGGAATTTCTGGCCAAGCTGAGAAGATTTGGGAATTTTTCCAGTACCTATGTAGCTTTTGGTGACTCTTAGGGCCCTGATAGCAAGGTCTTTAGTTGTGTTCTGGAAGGGAGACTGGAGATTTTTCATCCTTACCAAGGAGGAAAATAGCCAACGCTGTACCCCAGGGAGGTCACAAAACACCCCAATATCCCAGCCTGTGCCATTGCAATGCAGGCCAGGCAATCCCAGCCAAGCACATGCATCAGATGAGGACTTTGGTTCTAATACCTTGTTGTGCACCAGGAGGAGTTTTTAAATTATATAGATATAAAATAAAATGACTATAAAATATATAGCTATACACACACATATATATAGATAGAACACTAAATATATTATACAGTCAGCCCTCCGTATTCGTGGGTTCCATAGTCATGAATTCAACCAACCATAGATGGAAAATGTTTGAAAAAAAAATTCCAGAAAGTTCCAAAAAGTAAAACTTGAATTTGCCATGAACCAGCAGCTATTTACATAGTGTTTACATTGTATTAGGTATTATAAATACTCTAGAGACGACTTAAAGTATACAGGAGGATGTGCATAGGTTATTTGCAAATACCATGCCATTTTACATAAGGGACTCGAGCATCCACAGAGTTTGCTATCCACGGTGGTCCTGGAACAAATCTCCCATGGACACTGAGAGCCAACTATACTATACATTATATATAAATAGATTGGTATATATCATATGTAGTGTATCATATATAGTTATACATACTATATATGAATATGTACTACGTTATATATAAATATATATTAATGTATATTTATATAGTGTGTTATATATAAATGCATATATACTATGTAATAATATACATGATGTGGTTATATATAATATTTAGAGAGGCTAGGGAACCACAGGAAGGCTGCCCTCAGGTTAGAAGACCCTTGAAGCGCAAATGATTTCAGTCAAAAACTGGAGGATTAGTTTAGACTAGGACCAGTGCCTCTGCTTTTCTTCAATAACCAGCACTTGAAACTCATACACAGTAAACAGGAAAAAAATCCCTAAAGTGGCTCAGGAATTCCCAGGGCCAACCTAAGACCACCCTACACCTCCCAGAACCACCCCTGACCAGCCCAGACTCTGTACCCCAGGAGCACAGGGACAGAGCAGCCCCCAGGACCTCATGGAGAAATGAGTCCCAAAGCCTGTGGTAGGCCAGTATCCAGAATGGCTTGTCCCCTCTGCACTGAGATCCCACAGGCCTCTGCAGACCCCCGAAGGCCTGGCAGGTTCTGACCATTCTTATTGGGGCCGTTCAAATCCATTCTCCAGCTGTGCATGCTCTCTCCTTCCTGACTTTCTGTAGCACCTACCGTTTTCACCACACTTTGGGGCATTTGGTTATACTGTTCTCCTGTGTGTTGGTCTCCCCAGTGAGACTATAAACTCCTTGATGACAAGGGCAAATCTTTCTATTTCTCAGAGTCCCTAACTAAATACTCATCAAAATACAATGCACTTGCCTTGACCCTACCCATCTGCCTGTCTAATCAAGTCTGGTGTCCAGGCGCTCCTGCCACGCCTGCTGAGGTTACTTTAGGTGAGTTCCCTGGAAATTAAGAAGCACTCTCCTAACTCTAGTCTCTGTGATTGTCATTCACTGAGAATTGATCTAGAACCCCAAAGTGAATGAAACAGCCTGGCCATTGAGTTTACAGTCAGGTGGAAGGGACAGACAAGAGAATGTGATCAACGCCATGACTGAGTAAGCTCAGGGTGACAGAGAGACACAGATGAAGGCCATGTCTCCCTGCACAGGGGCTCAAAGAACGTGTCTTGGAGGAGATGGAGCCCAAGCTGAGTCCAGAAGGTTGAGTAGGGGAGGGAGAGTCCCGGCCAGAAGGTGATAAAAGATGGTTCAGAAAGAGGAGAAAAGGTGAGGAGGTGTCACTTAGTCATTCAACAAATTTGCTGAATACCTTGCCTGTGACAGGCCTAGAAACACCACTACTGGCTTCGAGATGCTAACTGATGAGGGAGGCAGGCATTTCAGCAAGTCCAGTGGTTAGTGCAAGGGTCAGGTTACAGGGTGGTGGCTCAAAACCACTGTGTAAGAGGGGACTCAAGTGCAGTCAAAATTACCCTCAGAAATCTCTGGAATTGTCAGCTCCTGAGTCCTTAGAAGCTCCCAAGATGATAATTTTTGTTGCGCTTGGCTTTTTGGCTCTGCCTGGCTTCCCTTTCCCTGGGCAATGAAGGACAAGGTCTATTTTTAAGAGGAGGAAGGACTAAGAATAAACAAGAGGGTTTCTTGATTTTTCTTCAAAAAATTTATTGAAGTTAAATGTGCATCTAGCGAGGTTCCATTATATATACTTGGGGTGAGGCCATGGGGCAGCACAGCCTAGCAGATACCAACTGAGCCTCTTCTCTAAAGCAGCTTCTCTAATTTAACTGTGTCTGTAGACCCTCTTGGTCAAGCAAGTGCAGTTTCTGACTCAGTAGATCTAGGGCGAGCCTCAAGAATTAGAATTTCTAACTTGAAATTTCTAACAAGCTGGTGCCCATAGAGCACCAAAGCTGCTCCAGGGACCACAGTTTGAGAACCTCTAGAGCAGAGAATGAGTGGACTTTGGGGGTGGTGGCTGCATGCCAGGCAGAGGGTGAGTAGAGAGCTGCCCATGGCTCCCAGTTGGGGGATCAAAGTAGAAGACAGGGCTGGAGAGGGAGGGCTCATTGAAGAGCTTCATAAGTGATGGGGAGGGGGTCACATTATAAGAGCAGGTGCCCACAGGGGACCCGGAAGTGGGATGGGTGTATTCTTCCTTCAGGGAGACAATCTGCGTATTAAACCTAAATATTCTTCACTCCAGAAATACGTACTCTCACAATTGGTGAAATACGCAGTCCTATTTCTCCATTTATGATAAAGACCTAGTCACAAGAAATATTTCCCTCTCTCTTAACGGTGCAAGTCAGTAATAACAACTGACACTTGACCTCTGCGTGGGGATGGGGGAGGGTAAGGAGGCGCTTACACCCACTGGCGGGGGGGGGGGGGCGGGGGGGGGAAGGGGGGGTGGGGGCGTGGCCAGGGCTGCTTTCACATAGATCCTGACCGCAGCAGTGTCAGGGATGGACTAGGGGGAGGGAGTGCCTGGGGGCCGGAAGGCCCCCTAGGAGGCTTCTGCTAACCTTGGCTGGAGAGAATGGATGCAGAAACCCCGAGGCAGCAGGAGGCGAGGCGAAGAGCAGGACACACTGGGAAGGCAGAGGAGCCGGGCTCACTGAATGATGGGCTCTGAGGATGAGCGGGAGAAGGCTGTCTGGGACGACCCCACAGGTTTCCAGCGTGGGTGACTGGGTGCCTGGTGGTGACATTCACTGGGATAACGAATACAAGAGCAGAAGCGTGTATTGAGGGAAGTTTCTGGATAAGCGGAATTCAGGTGCCTGTGGATCGGCCAGCAGGCCACAGGGATTATAGGGTATGAAGTCGGAGCAGAGGCGAAGATTAGTCAGCTTTCTAGAACCCAAATCTGGTCAAGTACTGTCTGCTTAAAATCCTCTAATGGCTTCCCTTGTTTAAACAGAGAGTCCAGACTCCTCCTCATGGTAACCAAAGCCCGTCGCTACCAGCCCCTTCCAGTCTCGTTGCGCCACACCCCAACACAAACACCCGCTCCCCAGGCCTGCTGAACAGCTCAGAGTCCCGGAATAAGCCATGCCTTTGTTCTTGACAGTCCTGGGGCCTGCACTGCCCTTCTACCCCATCCCCTGTATGTTGAGAAAATTCGTACCCCTTTCAGGCTGCTCTGAAGTCTTCGCTGACCCTGTCAAGCAGAAGAGATCCCTCCCTTCTTTGTGCCATCCCCGAACTTTGCATGTGCTGCTTTTCCTGCCCTGTCACTCCCTGCTGTGGGGATTTGCCTGTCTGTAAACTCCTTGGACGCAGAGACCACGTCTGACTTCACCACTTCTTAGCGCAGGTCTAGCATATAGCAGACACTCACCAAATGCTTCAAGAGTGAATGAGTACCCCTTCTCCAAGAGGTAAACTGCTGGTCTGGAGGAAGATGCTTCTCGTTTCCCCAGAGACCCTCCAGCTCCCCCTCCTTCGGGCTCAAGAACAGCACAAGGCCCCCAGGGTCTTACCTTGCCTTTCTTCTTTCTTTACAGCTGGGGTATGGCCGTCAATGTGTACTCCACGTCTGTGACCAGTGAGAATCTGAGTCGCCATGATATGCTCGCATGGGTCAATGACTCCCTGCACCTCAACTATACCAAGATAGAGCAGCTCTGCTCAGGTGGGAGGCTGGGAATCGGGGGGAAGTGGGCTCTGCTGGGGGGACAAAGGGGGGTAGGCAGGAGGCAGAACAGCCACAGCAGACAGTGGAGCTTGTAACTGGGATTAAGGAGGAGTGCTGCGGAGCCCTCAACTAGCCAAAGTGTTTGGAGTTGGAGTAAGGAAATAGGGGTCTACGTGGGATGGAAAGAGTAAAAAGCAAAGAGCAGGGGCTTCCCTGGTGGCACAGCGGTTAAGAATCCGCCTGCCAATGCAGGGGGACACGGGTTGGAGCCCTGGCCGGGAAGGTCCCACATGCCATGGAGCAACTAAGCCCGTGCACCACAACTACTGCGCCTGCACTCTAGAGCCTGCGAGCCTCAACTACGGAGCCAATGTGCCACAGCTACTGAAGCCTGTGCACCTAGAGCCCATGCTCCGCAACAAGAGAAGCCACCGCAATGAGAAGCCCGTGCACTGCAACGAAGAGTAGCCCCCGCTCACCGCAACTAGAGAAAGCCCGCACGTACCAACAAAGACCCAATGCAGCCAAAAATAAATAAATTAAATAAATAAATTTATTTTTTTAAAAAAAACAACCCACAGCTTCCTAAGGAGAGGTTAGGTTACTGTGTTAAAAAAAAAAAAAAGCGAAGAGCAGGAGAGGCACAGTAAAGGGCTGCAGAAGGGGAGCAGCAGTGGGGACAGGCAGTGAAGCCAGAGGTCACGTGCACCAGGTCCAGCCTAGCCACTTCGGGGGGGGGAGGGTCCAAATCTCAGCTCTTCTTGTAGTGCAACCCTGGACAAGTCACCACACCTCTCTAGGTTTCAGTTTTTCCATCCATGAATGGAGATGACATCAGCTACCTAACCAGGGTTGCTGTTAGGATTAAAGCCCATGCATGCAGTGTTTGATATGGTGCTGGTACATATTTGCATCACTGTATGGTAATTGCTCTCACTCTTGGGAAGTCTGGCCCCGGCTCTGGGAACAGAGAGAGAGAAGAGGAGACGGAGAGGTTTGGGGGAGTAGCCCCAGTTGGCCTGGGGACGTGAAAACGAGCATCTTGTGTTTCTCCACAGGGGCCGCTTACTGCCAGTTCATGGACATGCTCTTCCCTGGCTGTGTGCACTTGAGGAAGGTGAAGTTCCAGGCCAAGCTAGAGCATGAATATATTCACAACTTCAAGGTGCTGCAAGCAGCATTCAAGAAGATGGGTGTTGATAAAGTAGGTGCCTGCGCTCTGAGGGGCCCCGAGGAGCTGTGTGACCCTGGGAAAGAAGATGGCCCGCCAGCCAGGGCAGCAGGGGCTGTTGGGGTCCATCCAGTTCTCACGCCTCTCTCCACCCCGACTCTCCAGGGGGAATGTTCCCCCAGCTCCAGGCTCAGTGGAAAACCCCACAACTTTGACATCCCATCCCGATGACATTCCTGTCCCTTCCTCCTCTCTGGACCCTACACCCCAGCACTTGAGCCTCGTATATTGGTCCTATTAATTCCTCCTCTGGAAGGCCCAGGAAAGGTCTCTTGGCTCACTCGACTGCCACAACGGCCCAGGACCCTGGTTCCAGCAGCCCTGACCCCACATGCAGGCCCAGCACCAAGGGATGTCTCCCCACACACTTCCTCCTGTGCCTGGAGGAAAGGGCCTGCCGCCTACCCATCTGCCCTGGTGGCACGGGAGGGGGGCCAGGTGGAGAAGGTGGAGGATGCTGCAGCCCAGGGGCTGGCTTTCCTGAGAGCAGTGGCCCTCTCACAGAGAAAGGCAGCCCTGCAGCAGCGGGAGGTTAAAGTTCTCTGCTTATGTGGTCTATTTCAGATCATTCCTGTAGAGAAATTAGTGAAAGGAAAATTCCAAGATAATTTTGAGTTTATTCAGTGGTTTAAGAAATTCTTTGACGCAAACTATGATGGAAAGGATTACAACCCTCTGCTGGCGCGGCAGGGCCAGGACGTAGCACCACCTCCTAATCCAGGTGATCAGATCTTCAACAAATCCAAGAAACTCATTGGCACAGCAGGTAATGTGCCCGAGCTGGGGGAGGGAGTGTGGGGGGCCGGGCCGGAAGGGCGCTACAGCCAGGAGCGGCCCCTGGGCCACCGGCCCGGCCCTGCCAGCCTAGAGGAGACTGTTATCACGGAGTTCAGATGACGCCGCCTGCTGCCCGCTTAGACCAGGGGGAGTCACAGTAGGGAGGAGAGGGCTCCAGAGACTGCTACAAAAGGAGAGCCACCGGCACCGGCCAAGGTGGCAGCTGGTGATGGGAGGCCCCGGGGCACTTCCCTCTGTAGCCCGAGCCAACTCCTCTGCCTCAAGATGATGGGGCAGCCCCTGGCTTGGTCCCTCTGTCCAGGTCCATCCAGGCCAAGGGCCTGGGCCGGCACTACAGACACTTCTTGCCCCCTGCCCACTTGACTCCCCGGGGATGGGAGTTGGCCAAGCTTGACCATATCTTCCCCCATTTCCAAAATCCCACAGCCCTAAGTCCTCAAGAGATGAGTCTCTGGAAACGAGGCTTTGTCTGGGTTCCAGAGGAGAAGGGGAGAAAGCAACAGGGCCTTTGGGGGATGGGAAGGTTGGCGAGAGCAGAGGCGCAGCCCCGCACGCGTCTGAACCCGTCATAGCAGAGCGGCTCCTCTGTGTGTGCTGCTGCCCGCCTGGGGCTGCCCCCACTCCTCTGCTTGCTTTGCATCAGAAGCTCTGTCCTGGGAGCCGCCATAGCTGGACAATAAGTGGCCACAGCATGCCGGGTGTGCAGGGGAGGAGTGGGGTCCCTGAATCAGGCCCAGCAGAGGGCCCAGAGACCATCCTGAGGCAGGGAGCCCAGAGGGGCAGGGGCAGGCTTCTGTGATCTCCTCCAGAAGGCACCCCCGGGGAGGATGGCTGTGGGCTGGGGTATCTGTTAGCAAAGACCCAGCGAGACCCTGTGCCAGCTGCTTTTCCCCAGGCCCCGGCTGTCAGTGCAAGAGGGCCCTCAACCCTCCAGCCCCACTCCCCAAATTTGCCATCCCAGTTCCCTCCTCTCCCCCTCAGGCCAGCTCTCCTCCCTGCCTACACCTTACACTTTCTTTAGTTCCCTGTAGCCCCTGCTCTCCCAGGCTTGCCAGAGGGCTGCCCCGCTGCTGTGGTGTCACGTGTGGCCGTGGCTTGAGGCCTAGCTGTAGATGCCCATCCTGAGAGGGAGAGGTGGGGAAGGCGAGAGTGCCTGCCTTTCGCATGGGCCTGCCCCGCAGTCACACCAGGCTGTCTCGTGCCACGTGAGCTGTGGGCTCACGCAGCCCCGATCTGACTTTTCTCCTCTGGGCAGTTCCACAGAGGACGTCCCCCACAGGCCCCAAAAACATGCAGACCTCCGGCCGGCTGAGCAACGTGGCTCCACCCTGCATCCTCCGGAAGAATCCTCCATCAGCCCGAAATGGTGGCCACGAGACCGATGCCCAGATTCTTGAACTCAACCAGCAGGTGAGTGGCGTGGACGCTGGCAGCTGAGAAAGCCCCGCCACAAAAGCCAGGCCCCCGGGGCGTCAGGGCGGGAAGGGAGTCCGAGGCGGTGGTCTCTGGCTTGAACACCACCTTCTCCCCGAGCAGCTATTGGATTTGAAGCTGACAGTGGATGGGCTGGAGAAGGAGCGCGACTTCTACTTCAGCAAACTCCGGGACATTGAGCTCATCTGCCAGGAACACGAAAGCGAGAACAGCCCCGTCATCTCGGGCATCATCGGCATTCTCTACGCCACCGAGGTGAGTCCCGCCAGTGCCTGCTGAGCCTCCCGCACTCCCGCCGGGCCCTCACGCCAGAAGGGGCCTTGGAGAACGTGGGCCGATGAGGGCAGCCAGCCGAAGTCACCAGCCCAAGGTCTCCCAGGGCGTGAGCAGGGCAAGTAGGACAGGAACCTGGGCCCTGGCTCCCAAGCTACCCTCAGGAGTCCGCACCCTCAGCCTGCCTGCCTGGCTCACCTCCTCTCTCCCTTCCACCCTCCAGGAAGGATTTGCACCCCCGGAGGATGATGAGATCGAGGAACACCAACAGGAAGACCAGGACGAGTACTGAGGGCGGCTCCAGCCCTGGCTGACTGCACGGCTGCCGTGCCCCTCACCCCGCTCCCATGCCCACATTATAATCCTTCCCTGACAGCCAGCTGGCCGGGTGCTTTGTGTCAGTGCCGTGGCCCTGGGGAGCCTGGCGAGCAGGGCTTGGGGGTGGGGGGCAGGTGAGCAGGTAAGGGCCCCTCCTCCTGTGGCAGAGGCCCAGTTGGGCGGGATCCCTGCCCACTCCCCACCCCTATTTATTTCCGTGGTCTCTGTGCTGTGTCGGCCAACACTTCCCAGGGGGCTGCTGCCACCCACCCCAGCCAGCCGCCTGCTCCCCTGACAGCCAGCAGCTGTATATTTGACAAAGTCATTGGTATATTTTTACTTACTGGATTTTCCTTGCACTTTACCTGTTCTTTTCCCAGGGCTGACAGCACGGGCTCTGGGGCAGCGTGTCTGGCTTGGCCTCCCTTCCCCGTTGCCAGGGCTGTGGCAGGACTCACCGATTCTTATTTATTTTGTCTTTTGACTTCCCAGTAGTTGAGGGAAAGGCTGATGTCAGGAGAGGGATAGGGTGACTGAGGAGGGGGTGCCTTAGGCCCCGGTGGTCAGGGAGAGCGAGGGGAGCACGTGAGGGATGAAAATGACCTCCTGGCACCAGGCTTGCCCACCCTCGGCCCCCTGACCCCAGCACCGAAGCCCAGCACTGCCCCGAGGCCCCCAGCCACTCCCCCTGCAGCTTGGTTCATACCACACATTCTCGCCTGGGCCCTCCTGTACGTCTGCCTCCCCTCTGCCCGCCTCCCCAACCCCTGCCCCTCGGGCCACCCAGCCTGCATACGTGTTCACTTTTATTTAAATAAACTTGTGTGGTAAAAGTCCATACCACGTCTCCCTCGACTGAGCCACAGCCTGGCTCTCAGCGCTCTTCTCCTGAGCGACCCCGTCTCCAGAGGCGATGGCCATGGAGCACAGCACCCCTGCCGTCCTCCCTCGGGCCCAGAAACCGCCACTGGCTTAGCCTCAAGAGCCCAGCTCTGACCTAGCCCCCATCTCCCAACGCTGATGCCCGGGCTTTAAGGGCTTGCCATTCCCTGAAGAGGAACAAAGTTCAGGGCCATGGCTGTGACGATGGGCAGCCCAGTAAAGCAGCTGTGGGGTAACAGGGGGGCCTGGCTGAGCAGTGCTTTGTTTCAGTCCCCTTTGGGCCAGTATGACTGCATATTGTCCCCCACCCTTGTCAAAGCTCATACGCCCCACAACAGTGATCCAGCTGTGGACAAGGGCTCATGTGACAGAGCTGAGTGGGCTACAAAGAGCAACGGCTCTAAGAACTGAGGCCCAGAAGGAAAGCAATGTCCAAGGGGTTCCTTCCACAGAACAGGCTCTAACGGGAGCCGGGAACTCTGTCACGTCCTCCGTACAGCCCTGCAATCCTGGTGTGTGCCGGCCAAGGGCCATGATAACCGGTGTCCCGGAGGCCCCGAGGGCGCTGAAATGCATGTGGATACCGGGCCCATTCAAACAGAGCCTTGGCTGTCATCTAGAACAGTCCTGCATTTACTGATGAAAGGACTGAGAACAACATGTGACATGGCTGGTCAAGGTGGTAAAAAACTAGACTAGAGCTGAGACCTCCTGACTCAGGGTTCCGGGCTCACTCACAAAGACCACAGAGGTGTGACCTCCAGAACGTTCCTCTAGCTTCAGACTAGCCCTGGTAGATGTTTCCTTGCCATCCTGAGTATGCCTGAGATACTACGGGGATTGTGTTTCTTCCATGGCCCTGCTCCATGACCCTCCTCCCAGACTGCCACCACTTCTCAGATGACTCCAGTTATAAGCCTGAAATAAGCAAACTGTGTCTGTTTGTTCCTCATTCACTTCAATTCCTCCGTTTGACTCCCACCCCCACGCACAGAGACTTCTGATCTTATTCTGCTTTTCTTCTCCAAAAAGTTCCCTGCCTGCATTTATTTATCATTATGATTTTTAATTCCTGTGCCTAATTTTAAAAGGCTTTCCCCCCCACCATTCCAGGTAGATATAGTAAAAGGATAACGTAGTTTCCCTGCGTTGCCCAATGTTCATTTTCAGGCCGAGACCTCACCCTGCTGGTTAAGTGGGTGTGGTAGACAGAATAACACCTCCCCCGAGATGTCCACGTCATAATCCCCAGAACCTATGGCTATGTTAGGTTACATGGTGAAGGGGAATTAAGCTGCAGATGGAATTAAATTGCTAATCAGTTGACCTTAAAATAGGGAGAGTATCCTGGATTATCCAGGCGGGCCCAATGTAATTGCAGGGGTCCACAAAATTGGGGCAGGGGCCAGGAGGTCAGAGTGATGCAATCTGAGGAGGACATGACCCGCCGTTGCTGACTTTGAAGATGGAAGGGAGCTATGAGCGAAGGAATTCGGTCAGCCTCTAGAGGCTGGGAAAGGCAAAGAAACTCTCCCCTAGAGCCTCCACAGTGGACCGCTGCCCTGCAGACACCATATTTAGCCCAGTGAGACCCTGACAGACTTCCCCTTCCAGAACTGTAAGATTAGAAGTTTGTGTTGTTTTAAGCCAGTAAGTTTGTGGCAATGTGTTACAGCAGCAATAGGAAACTACTACGGTGGGTCAAACTGCTTCAGTGAGCTCACTCTTCTTCTCGCCTCCACACTGGACACCCACCCGTCCTCCTCTTTTGATTCTTCCCTCAAACCCCATGGGTACCTGCCTAAGCCCACCTCCATGGCTAGTGTCTAAGGCTGCTCTTTGAACACCCAGAGCTCAAAGATGTGAAGCCACTGCCTCCTTCCCAATGTCTGCAACATTTAAGATGGTGAACCATAATTTTCTGTTTACACAGTTGTCTCCCACACAAGCTTCGAGTTCCCCTCAAGCAAGTGAGGTGTGTCCTCTAGCTCCACCCAGCACCATGCTAGGTGCTTAGGTAGAGAAGAAGGTGCTTAGGAAATGCTACTGGATAAGTGAGTGAATGACTTCTATCCCTTAGATGCCAAGTCACAACAGATGACCTGCCAGACTATTCTAAGGAAAGATAGGAAATAAAGCCCCTCCCTTTCTATACATTTCCACCATGGAGCAGCCCCCTTCTTTGCCTCTATGGAAAGCCCGTTCTGTTTCTCTTCCAGAAACAGTGTCTCTTCTGTGACCATACATGTGACACAGAAGAGGCAGAACAAAGAGAAGATAGTGTCTGAGTAGAGCTAAACCAATGATCTGAAAAAAATGAATTGATTAATGATCAGCTCAAATCTGTTCCTTGCCAAAAGCACTGCATCTCAGAGGCAAAGTCAGCTATGGTCAGGCCTGAAGGGGCTGGAGGGCAGGCAGAAGGAGGCAGCAAGAGCCGGTTATATCCCCCTTCCTGCCTTTCCCCCACCCCATCCCATCCTTCACATATCCCCATTTACCTTCCCAAAAGCAGATGTGCCCCTTTCCTACTGGCTTCCCAGGGTCTGGAGGACAAAGTCCGAATTTGGCAGGCAAGGCCCATGGCATATGGGCTTAGATCCATTTCCAACCGCATCCCCTCCAAAATCCCTTAAGCACTGTCACATTGAACTACTTCCAGTCTCCCAGCCTTGCCACGCTGTGTCCCACCTCTAGGACTCTGCTTAAATCAATAAATCCATACAACTGGCCTGTTCTCTCCACTTGTCCTCATCCCCAGCCAATGAAAATTTGCCCATTCCTCAGGACCCATCTCAAGGGCCATCTCCTTCAAGAAGCCTTCTCTAATCCCCTTCCTAAAGGAATTCATCACTCCCTAAGCTATTCGTCCTGTGGGAAACTGAACTCTATTAGTTCTTACTATAACGGCTTGCCTGTCTTGTTCCTCAGTATGGCAGGTGTGAATCCCGTCCTCAAATGTAGGAGCGTACATGAAATAGCACATTTCCTTAATCGTGATAGATCCCTTCCAGTTCACCTTCGCTCATCCTCCCCTGCTGGGATGCTTCAAGTTTTGAGGTCTCACGTGATACTACAAGCCTGGCAGAAGGCCCTCGGTAGATAACGGATGTCTGAGCAGTAACCTGTTTGAGTGGTTCCCCAGGTCTGCAGCTCTCGATCCCTTCCCTGCCACATCTGGGACTTGGCACTGACTCTTGTGGTGGGAGTCAGAGTCTTTTCTTTCCCATTGCCTGTAAGGGGAACCCAGCGCTGGCTGTACCGGGGCCCCAGACTTTTCTGTGCCTCCTACCAGAAGGACTCTCCGCTCTCCACTTCCTGCCCTCCAAATACTGCCTCTTCCCTCAAACTCCATCCTCTTCCTTGTTCCTGCAGAACAGATTTTTATAGCTCATTAAACCCAAAGTTTAATCACTAGCAACAGAAAAACTAGCACTTTCCTACAAGGAAGGAAGCATTTAATCTTCAAACTCTCCTGGGAGATGAGGAGAACTATTTTCATTCCATCCTTCTTGCACAACTAGAACGGAAAGAAAAACAGTTAAATTTCCACCAAGTCACCCAATGCCTTTACATTTTGCTCAATAAAAGTTGTCTGAATGCAAAAGCCTCTCATCTCAACATCTTTGCCTGGCTGGTTTTTTGCTGCGAAAAGGCCCCAACGCCGACCCGACCCCAAGACTGGGAGAACCAGGCAAACACGAAAGACTACAAGTCCCAGGCTGCCTTAGCGGGTGGCGTCACGCGCCGCGAGGCCCTGCGAGGAGACGTGGCAGAGCGCTGCGCGTCCGCGCCGGACCGGAAAGGCCAGGGAGGTGGCCGTGGCGGGAGGCTCGGAGCCATGTCGGCCAGGACGGCGGGTGGGGGGCGCTGGGAGGTGGTGAAGAAGGGGCGGCGGCCTGGGGCCGGCAGCAGTGGTAAAGGCGGCGGAGGGGACCGCCGGGCGCTCGGGGAGGCGAACGGAGTGTGGAAGTACGACCTGACCCGTGAGTACCCACCCGGCCCGCCGCCGCCGCCCGGCCCCGGGCCTGCCCCCACGGGTGGTAGGGAGCAGCTACCCGAGCCCAGAGGGTCAAAACACCCCCGGACTCCTGGAGGCGCGAGCTCTCCTGCCGATCGGTACCTCCCAGTTCAGCCGGCGCTACCCTGGCGTTGCCTATTTTGAGCCTCCCGGGAGGTAGACAGCGCGAGGGAAGTCGCTGTCCTTGCCTCTCAAATGAGTAAACTGAGGCCCAGCGAAGTTAGATGCCTTGTCCAGGATCCCATGTCAGTGGGGACCGGGATTCTGGTCTTCGGACGCTCAGCTGACTGCACATACGCCCTACCAGCTGTTTCCGGGCCCTGGCCTGGCCTCTCCGGGCAGGTGTCCGAGAGCTGCGGAGAGGCATCCTGGTTCATTATACACGGTGCCCACGCCTTAAGTAACCAGCAGGTCGGGAGTGGGCGTGGGGACTGGGACGCACATGAGGCCCTGCACTGGGAGAAATGACCCACCACACACTGTCCACACCCACCAAGTATTATTCTAAGTGGTGCTGGTTTCCTCAAAGCCTCCTGGAGGAGTGGAGAAGGCTTGCCACTTGTTGATTATAGAGTTGTCACATCTGAACCAGAAGGAACTGGGGTAGAACCAAGATGGAAAAATCCTGATCTCCCAGACTGATAGCCATTCAACAAAGAAGCCAGCCGTCCATATCCCACCCCCGACCACCGATTTTCACATACTCTGATTTCCTAATAAACGCCTCATCTCTGTGAAAGAGCCCATGAACTCACGAGCTGTGATTACTGAAGAAGCAGCCAGGAGGGCTCCCTGCCCTGCTCCTGAAGCAGGACAGCAAGAAGGGGCTTTGAGGCAGGATCCTCCCTGGAGATGAATTAGGTGACAGTGTGGAGGAAGGGACCACTGTTCCTGTGAGGCCCTCCTGACTCAGGGCTGCCCCCCTTTCTCTGCCT